CATTTTCCAGGACATTAAAGACTTAGTATATGACTGTACAGTCATTGTGCAGAAGTACATTAGCAACCCCTTGCTCATTTCAGGGTATAAACTGGATCTGCGCCTCTATGTGTGTGTCACGAGTTTTTGCCCCCTCACCATTTACACTTATGAAGAAGGACTGGTGAGGTTTGCCACTGAAAAGTTTGACCTTGGTTCTCTGGACAATGTCTATGCCCACCTAACAAACACCAGCATCAACAAATATGGAGCTTCATATCAAAAATATAAAGAAGGGATTGGCTGTGGCTGCAAATGGACATTCAGCAAATTTCGTTCTTACCTTCAAATATTTGGGGTTGACGACACGCTCCTCTGGCAGAAGATCAATAACATAGTGATTCTCACCCTGCTTGCTGTAACCCCCTTACCAGTGGCTTCCAATTGCTTTGAGCTCTTTGGCTTTGACATCCTGATTGATGACAGATTCAAGCCATGGCTTTTAGAAGTCAACTACAATCCGGCCTTGTGTTTAGACTGTTCCATTGATGAGACTGTGAAAAGAAAGCTTCTTCACGATATTGTTGAACTGCTGAACTACAAACAGATTGACACTTTCAGGCGAAACCTCGTGGCTGGGACGAAGGCTGGCAGAAGGCGGGTGCCCTGGAGCACAGCTGGTGAGAGTGCCACCGGGGAGGCTCCTGGCATACTCACTTGCCAAAAAGTGGCTAAAGGTTCTTCTGCTTCTTCTGTACAACCTGCCCTGCAGGCTGCAAGACGATCAATTCGTAAGGTGGCTACCCTGACCAAGAAAACTGCCAGAGCATATCCAAGAAAAACACTGACTTCTCAGCTGCGGGAAAGGATGAACATGCCAAAAATACCCTCCCAAGCAAAAGCTGAAGCTAAAAATAAACAAATCCCAGGAACTGGGCATTCTCCACACAAGTCTGTCCAACAAAACCACTGGTTACCTACACCTGACTTGTGCAACTATGAGTTAACCACACGCCCCTATTTCCTCTCTGATAAAGACCAGAGGCCTGTCCCCCGGGTAGGAGATTTCGTCCTTATTTTTCCTTTCAATGAAGCTGCACTTCAAGCTTCCAGGGATGGGACAGATGTAAAGAGCATCATAAAGGAAATAAACAAATTAGTGAGCAAACCATTACCATCAAAACAGCAGAACACAAAGAAAAGGGTAGGCTATTTAGCTTCTGAGTAACTTCATGATGTTAGGTTACATAGACATATCGTAAATGACAACTTTAGCTTGAAGGAGGTAGATGTACACTGAAATTGTATTAGAAAGATATCTTAAACAATACACAATTTTAAAATTGTAATTTAGCAATTACCATGTGAGATTATTTTTTAAAATTAATTTTTAAAATTAAAGTACTAATTTTTTAAAGTAATTTGTGCAATATTAAAGTAATCCCAGAATAAAAATGGAGAATTGCGTTTCTCAAAACATTCTCAGAAATGCCAGTCTTTGTTTATTATTTTTCTCAGCGATCCTTGCTTCTTTTCTTTTCCTAACTAAGGAGGCTTTATGGCTTGAAAAACTGGTCACTTTACACTGGGGAGCATTCAACATGCACTCAGTTTACAAAGGTGCAGGTAATCTGAATGACACAAAACTATCATGTTTTTGAAGAATGCAGTGAGCTTCCCCACATTCATTTCCAGAAATTAATTTTGCATTGTATGAAACAACAGTATGAAATAACTTTCATTTTATGACCAGTAGGATTCTGTAGCAATTCTTACGGAAAGTAATTTTTAAAAAATCTGTATACTGCTCCAGTGTTTTTTTTCAGATGAACTCTTAATAAAGAAATAATTAGGCTTCCCAAGGTAACGGAGGGCAGAATATAAACTGCAAATATCATGTTCAGAAGACTGGATCAAACCTCTCTCTCGCAGACTCTGCATTAGCCACCTGATGGGTACGGTGGTTAGGCACTTTGGTGATCAGCTGTGCATGGAAAAATACTAACGCTGAACTGAAGCATTTGAGATGATGGCCAAAATACTACCCTTCCCTCGCACATCTTTGCTGCCCCCAGCTGTTCGAATGGAAGTAACTCTGTTCAGAAGTCACACCGTATTCTCAATTTGAATCACAATTGAGACCAAATACTGGCTGTAGCATGCTTCCGCTAATGCCAGAAAACCTGTGGAAAGATGAGAAGTGGGGTTTCCCAACTGTGTTCCATCTCCCCGAAGGATTCATAACATTTTTTCACTATAAACCCTCTAGGACAAAAAACATGGTAAAGTAGGTATGTGTATTGCTACAGTTTAAGTACATATGCAGTCACACTTAAATTGGATTATTTGTGTTCCTACAACGATGAACTATAGCTGGCAAAGCCCTTACTGCTTCCGGTTAACTAATGCAAGTGGTAGGTAGAGGAGATAGGGTGTGAGAATCAGCCTGAGAAGAACAACGTGGCATGTGTCATAACTGCTCTGTGAAGGACTCCCAGTTATAACATACCTGCCAGAGCTTGTCATTTATTTTTGTCTCCTCCTTTTCAAACCAAATTTGTGCCCCTTATTTCAGTAAGCCCTTTGCTATTACACTATAAAATATTACTTGAAAAACATGTCTTGGTTAAAATGGTGGCCACACGCTGGTTGACAAAACTACTGCGAAATCCTCAGTAGCCTCACCCTTTGATTTCACCAATGGAAGTTTTGCCGTTGATTTGCCAGAAGGTAGAACTGGGCCCATATATTTAACGTGCCATTACAACCTGCCTGTAAGCAGGAGCTAACAAGGTGAATGCACACATCAGCAAGGTATTTGCACACATGCATGTCTGTGTGCACATGGTTTTAGAGACTGACTTGCGCGTATCCCCCATGTGTTACACCTGTGTGCAGGATCGCAGGCCTAATTATTCCAGAATCAGAATGCTTCCTGCAAGTAGGTAGAGAGCGCTTAATGAAGCAAGGAGCGAGCAGCACACAAACAAAATTGTTCGTTATTTAATTTACAATTAGGAGGGATTATATACAGAGGTTATGGAGTGGCAAACGCTGGTTTAAGGCTAAAAGCTGCAAACAAAGCCTGTTTTCTGTATTACTATAGAAACAAAGAGAATGTCAGCATATTAGCTGGAGAACAGGGACCTTTTGTTAAAAGGAATTCCTGGGAATAAAAACAGTGGTCCTTTACAAAACTTTAGTACCACATCTAGTTTCCCAGCCAAACTGAACACATTAATCACATTCACTTTTTTCGTGATGCTTAGTTGAGAAAAAAAAAAAAAAACACGTAGATTTGTTTTAGTCAGCGTAAGGCAGCACTGAACTGAAATTCTTAGTGAAACACAAGGAAAAGAATGATCTCTTAGTGGTCCTTTACAAAACTTTAGTACCACATCTAGTTTCCCAGCCAAACTGAAAAAATTAAATCACATTCACTTTTTTCGTGATGCTTAATTGAGAAAAAAAAAAACCCACATAGATTTGTTTTAGTCAGCGTAAGGCAGCACTGAACTGAAATTCTTAGTGAAACACAAGGAAAAGAATGATCTCTTGGATTTCTTTTAATTAGAGTTTCCTTTTACAAAACACCTAAAATATATTAAATATTTCAGTAGTGAAAAGCACAAGTTTATAAATTGTTCCTTTGTTATACAGGAGTAAAGGAAAACCAATGCAATTTTATTATCACACCAGCTGACATCAAACTGCATGGATGTTCAGGGCATCATAATTAAATTCATAAACTGCAGCATGTGTATGATCAATATTAGCAACGCTTCTTGCTCTATTCAATCTATTTCTTCCAAAGGTGCTCTGTAACTTGAATGGTGATTTGTCGACAGTCTGACCCACTAGAAACTGAAGAGAAGAAAGAGAAATCCCATAATCTTGCAATTATTTTGCACTTAGGTGCGAGAAAAGGCTAAAGCAGCATGCTGTGACAGTGTGTTTGCTGCTACAGGAATTTGAAGGGCTTGAGGAGATAATTGGTCTTCTCAGTCAATGGGCAGGTAATGAGCTGAGCTCTACAGGAGAAATGCTTCAGTGCTTTGGAAAAATATAAGACAGATGATGGACAGGCAGTCAACGGGGAAGGCAGTTGAAAGCAGCATCTGATAAATGATTAATCCCCCTAGGTATCACGTGCAATCCAAAGGGTCTTGAATCTGGAGAGATTCACTGACCAGAAATATTTTTCCACTACTGGAAGAATAAAGGCAGTAGTGGGAGAGGTTAATTCAAAAACAAAGCAACACAGAGGACGCCTGAGGAAAGACTGTTGGAGGAAAAAGAAAGGGCTATTTCATCCAGAATAATGACCAGGATGGAATAAACATTACATTTTGTCTTCAAATGCATGAGACAGAGTTCTTACATTATGATCATATAATTATTGAATAATTTACATTGGAAGAGACATCCAGAGGTGTGACTGTTCACTGAACTCCTGCTCAGGTTTTGGTCTCCTGTACAGCTCATGATAAGGGCTGATGCATCCTGGGATCTTCTGCTCCAAAGAACCCAACCAAACTGAAAACATTAATCACTTCCACATTTTTAGTGGTGGTGAACTGAGAAAAAAATAACCTCGCAGATTTGTTTTAGTCAGCACAAGGCAGCACTCAACTGAAATTTAAAAAGCTTTGTAGATTTGAGGTTCTTATGCCATGCTCCTTAATTGTAGTCACTTTTGTAACTAACTAGCAGAAAAACAAGGGAAAGTGTGATCAGTATCATGAAACAAACACTTTGATGAGAAGTACTATCAGCATTTATTTTAATGTTACATACACAAAGAGGGCATGACTGTATTTTGTTCAAGTCTCACTCAAGAGACATTTCATTTGGGTAAGGTTATTCTAAAACTGAGCACCAGTCTACGAAACCAAAGTGAACTTCAGCCCTACAGATCCATCCATTCATTTTCACAAGCCTTAAATCTTCCTAACAGTTCTGACACGCCGGGAAAATGGGTTGAGCTACTTACAGGCAGCACAGCCCTCTGAGGGGAGGAATCACTTCTTGTCTAGGATGATATTACCCTCCTCATCTTTGATTCGAACTCGTCCAGTGGAGTACTTGGTTTCTTGTCTGCCATTGCGGTACACAGTTTTTACAGTGCCATCTGGGTACTCCCGCCTCTTGAACTGCGCAGTGTGAACCTCCTTCTGGCCGTTACTGAACACCACTATTTTATCTCCATTCCTGAAAGAAATAATGATGAATGAAGTGATGAGAAGGCACTATCTGTTATTAACCTATCTCACTGAGCTGACTAATGTGACACAATGAAAGTGGAAAATAATGTCAAGTGACAACTTTCTCAGGTTATAATTCACCTCAGAATTGACATGGGATGGCATTAGAAATCTGATCTCACAATAAGATTTCAATGCAAAGGTACTTCAGTACATAGTATGATACCTAATGGATGGTGGGATCTGCATCTTACATGACTTCTTCATGCAGGGATCTCAAGGCATTTTGCAAGCAGGAAATCTGTTTTACAACAGGATCCTCCCTAAGCCCAGAAGAGGCATGTGTAAGAAAGTCCTATTGTTATTTTTCCTCATTTTACATGGAGGAATAGAGAGATGACACATGCAATGCCTTGCCCGAGACCAGAAAGGGAGCCAAAAAGCTAGGAATAGAGCTCAGGAGTCCTCATCCCGAGTCCTTTAGTACCCACGTTGTTAACACAGACAACTGGTGATCTCCTGGCAACCCTGGCCAGTGTAAAGTTACATGGAAATAAATGAGGAGCATTTCACAGTCACTTTGTCAGTGATAAATGGTCATCTATCATCCAAGGTGGAAGTGGACAATTATCAGTGCCTCATGGTAGCAAAATCCTCGTTATCTTACAAATCTTTTCTCCTTTCATCTGGAAATTTCCCAGCCATGCAGAATCCAACCAGAGTTTTAAATGTCAGTATCATTGTACCTGTGCCCAATGCCTGGTTCCTGTCATTAACACGAGACTTACTTTTCTACTTTTACTACTGTACCATCTGGAAAAAAAGTTTCCTTGAATCCGTCGCTATAGAGGCATTTCACTGTGTGATCCGGGAACACAATTTCTTGTGTGCCATCAGGATAATGTTTTTCTGTGGAAAAGAAGATGTAAAAAGTCTGTCTAGTGTTCTTTCATGTTGCTTTACACAGAGCTAGATCAGATTTTTTTTGGACATTGTAGTGAGGATGAAAATGATATCCAGCATACTGCTAAAGAAATTAAGGAATCAAATAATCAGATAATCAAAATTAGAAGAGATGCATTTACACCCCATTATTATCTTTGCTTTGTAGGAGGAAACTGAGCAGTAAAGTGATGGAACATGCTGGAAGTCAAATACAAAGACAATGCAAATCGAGAAGAAAAAAATCAATCTGCTGGAGTTAGAACCAGATGACATTTTCATAATAGAAACCTTCCTGCACATGTAGTTCACATTTATGAGCTCTTGCATACCTATCTGATTATTAGGGAACTGCAGCACCTCCAGGCCATCTGGATAAGCAGTGTGGGTTGTCTGTGCATCTGCATAATAATACATCTGAAAGGAGAGTGAAGTGTTTGCAGCATGTTCACAATATTTGCATAAGCAGATTCAACCATAAAACGTGCTTAAAAATAAGCCATCTTAAAAAAGTCATTTCAAGGTGATTTTCCGTATCTGCCATCCATAAAAGTAGCTGTGTTTGCATTTCTGTTTCTTCCTCTCATTCAACCCCCTCCTCGTGGCTGTGTCTAGATGTTGCTACTTTCATCTCTGTAGCGTACAAGACAACAGTGCACGCATGAAAGTCATCTTCCTATCTCTTTGCTTTGGGTCCATCCATGCACTATTAATTTAAAATAGTCCCACTGCTGCCAAGGCCTCACTTATTTCCACTCTAGCTCACATTATTATTAACTACTTATATTTACATAATACCAAGAGGGAAGAACCCCTGTGCTACCTACCCTACAAATGTATAAAAACCAGTCCTTGCTTCAGATGGCTGCCCCTGCCCTTTGCCTTCTTTCAGTCTCCTTTAATCTGCTTGGCCAACTACCCGTTTGTTCCTTTGACTGTTACCTTCATCTCTTTCCACTTTTGTCTTTGTAGATGAAGCAGTCTCACCACTGAGGGTTATTAAACCAGCACCCTTCCTCATCAATTTCTCCCAGAGTTGATAGCTCAAGATAAATTATAGGACCTTGTTGGAAACTCACTTAATCATTTAGTTTTCCTTAAAGAAAAAAAAATGTTACACACCACTCTCTGATCTGGCATGATCTTCTTCACATCTCCATTGAAAAAGCTAATCGTAGTCATCCTTTTATCAGCACTGATCTCTTTTTTAGTACCATTGCGGAAAGTGATGATTCGACGTCCATCAGTAAGCACCTCTTCTACCTTCAAACACAAAGAGCATCTAATGTAAACGAAGGTAAAGGAAATGAGTAACATTGCACTACCTTCCAATTAAATTGGAGCTTGAAGTAAGTCACGCTATGCCTTCGTATTTCAAAAGCTATCTCTGCAGCACAGATACATTATTTTTGCCTCACTTGTATATAAAAGAGACCAAAAGTAATTTTCTTCTCACAAAATGAACTCACTTCTAGCACTCGGCCCAAGTTCCCACCCCACCACCTTGTTTTTCTGTTAAGTGAGATAAGGCACACAGCCCTGTGGCAATAGGGAAGCCGTTTAGGTTTTCCCTTGACCAACTTCAGTGAGTTACTGTCTGTACCAATTTCATATATGCTGGTACACATTCTATACAAGTCACTCAGGAGACCCCGGTTCTGAATTGTGTGAACCAAAATGATTGAACTTGATGTATTAACACAAACTGCTGACATATGTTAACAACCATTTTATTCCAAGTAACATAAGCCTGTACGGACATTCAGTACTACAGAATTAAATCATAGAATCATAGAATCATTAAGGTTGGAAAAAACCTCCAAGATCATCGAGTCCAACCGTCGACCCAACACCACCGTGTCCACTAAACCATGTCCCTAAGCGCCGCATCTACACATCTTTTAAATACCTCCAGGGATGGTGACTCAACCACTTCC